AAGCGGCAGGGCTGCACAGCTGAGCTGTGGATCAGCTGTGCCATGCTGCACTTTGCAACCTCAAGGCAGCCTTTCAAAGGGGCAGCCTCCGCACAGCTGATATGCGTCTCATCTGTGTGGTGCTGCCTCTTTAAAATGCCCAAGTGCTGTGCAGCCCTGGGTCAGATGGGGACTCCCCTGCTGACTCCCGGTTCCACGTGGCATTTCCCCAGAACCTGGAGTCCTCCGCTGATGCAGTGCTTCATGGCTCTGCCCCTTGGAAATGCTGTGTGGAACCTGGGTCAGCTGGGGAGACCCCCTCCTGACCCAGGGCTCTATGGCTTTGAAATACACAAGAGACCCTACTGGGGCTTTTGTACATTTCAGAGGAGGAATGTGGAAGTGCCTGTCCAGTAGCCAATGGAAATTCCATTTTTAGTGTGAAGCAGCAAGGTGGGGATTTCGCTGCCTTACTCCCCTCATTGCTTTGAATAATAATGTTGTACAGGCACAACCCTGAGGTGTGATCACAGAATTGTGAAGTGGCTTTAGTCCAGTGAAGCTTCACCCCATCCACTAGCATGGATGCAGATGACACTTAGAAAATTGCATGTCCTGGTATACCTAGTCTCACATAGGGGAATAGCTATAGTGGCGTAGTGGCATCCACACAATGGGGGTTGTACAGTTCCAACTGTAGGGTCTAGTTGAAGTAGCCTGGCTTCTCTGTGTGTGCAAACCCAAGGTTTTAATTTAAAAGCACATTTACAATGCATCCCAGCAACTGACTATGTCAATTAAGTGCGGAAACTGAAAAATCATGTCATAATGATAAGGGTGAGAATTTAAAAAAGCCTTTTTCTCTGTGTGAACCCCATCCCATATAAGGTACAGAGGTATTTCACCATAATGCACTGGAAACGCAGTGGTGTTACAGATTTTGAACTTGCTTGGACAAAGCACAGAATAAACTCATTGTAGAAGCCAATCCTACATTGGTGGGAAATGAACTAGATCTGATGGATCCTTATCTTTGAGCTAACGCACTCCTCAGACAGGTATTATATAGCAGTGTTTCTCAACCAGTGGTACGAGTACTCATGGGCTGTGTCTAGACTGGCAAGTTTTTCCGCAAAATCATCTGATTTTGTGGAAAAACTTTCCAGCTGTCTACACTGGCCGCTTGAATTTCCGGAAAAGCACTGACGATCTCATGTAAAATCATCAGTGCTTTTCCGGAAATACTATGTTGCTCCTGTTCGGGAATAAGTCTTTTTCCGAAAGACTTTTGCGCAAAAGGACCAGTGTAGACAGCATAGTACTGTTTTCCGCAAAAAAGCCCCGATCGCGAAAATGGTGATCGGGGCTTTTTTGCGAAAAACCACATCTAGATTGGCCACGAACGCTTTTCCGCAAAAAGTGTTTTTGCGGAAAAGCATCCTGCCAATCTAGACACGATTTTTCCGAAAATGCTTTTAACGGAAAACTTTCCTTTAAAAGCATTTTCGGAAAATCATGCCAGTGTAGACGTAGCCATGGGGTACTCGAGAGAAGTCTGGGCAGTACATTAACACAACTGAAATTTGGAGAAAACTGAATTTTTGTTTTCAGTTTTACAGCGCTTTATTATTTTTGTACTTTTTACACCTCAAAATTTCATCACCCACCCAGCTATGATTAAGTTGTTTAAATAAATGTGCTGCAATGGTAGAAAAAAAATTGTGTACCTAAAAACTGTAGGTACTAGGGGTACTTATTTTTTTTTTTTAAAAGGAGTACTTTATTAAAAGAAAAGGTTGAGAAATACTGCAATATATGGTATTTAAAGTGAGGGAAGTTGCAAAGAGGAGAAATGAAATATCTAGCATGTATTCAGATCCATGGTATTTTCTTGTCTGCAGGGCTACGTCTACACTGGCCCCTTCTTCGGAAGGGGCATGCTAATTTTGAACTTTGGAATAGAAGTGCACTTCTGCCTTTGAAATATACAAGAGCCCCCTCCAGGGCTATCAGAAAGTGGCAGCAAAGAGTGAGGGGAGGAAGAGAAGGGTACTGGCAAAAACCGGGTTAAAAGCCGATTTCCTCCAGTTTCGTGGGAGGAGGCGGGGCGCAGCGGCGGCCTTCCACCTTTTAAATGTACAAGAGTCCCTACTAGGGCTCTTGTACATTTCAAAGTGGAAGCCCCCACATGAAGCCTGGGGTCAGCGGTAGACTCCCCACTGGCCCCAGGCTCCACATGGGCATTTCAGTCTTTGAGATGCACAAGAGACCCTGCTGGGGGTCTTCTACATTTCAGATGTGGAATGCTGCTCTTTGAAACGTAGCAACAGCTGGGTGGGCTCTTGCTACATTTCCAAGTGGATGCGCCCTTAACAACTAATCAAATAGTCGATTAATCTAATTTTAACATCCCTATATTGTATATTGAATTATATCCAAGTCTGATTATAATAATTAGTTATATAGTGGAAGCATCAATAAATTGGTCAGTTACCACCATCTTCATATGTAATGGACTGTACTACTTCCACCATGTTTTAATCATGAAGTGGTTAGGGCTCAGGGTTTTTCACATTGTATAAGTGTATAAAAAAGCAAACAGCCAACCAACCGACCAACAACAAATAGCTGGAATGTCTTTTCTTTTTAAAATGAAAAACTCTTTGTTGTTTCTCCATTAACGTGATTATTAGAAGTAGTTAATTAATCAGAACTTAGCACTGTGAGGTTTATATACTGAATATGATTGATACTTAAACACCATAAGTATTTTAATCTTCTTGACTTGATTAAAGCGCTATAAATAGGAACCAAATGTATTACATTTTACAATTCTTGACAATGAAAATGAAAATGTAAACAGTTCTTTTGTTCTTATGTGTTCTGTTCATGGGTGTATAGGAGATACCACATTCACCTCCAAGCTTAAATGTTCTTGCTTCATGGTGTTTTTGTAGCTCTTTTCTTTTATTAAGACTATCTTTTTTTCTTTTTATCCTTTTTTCAATAGGACTTATCAGGGATTGTGGTTGCTTGTCCAGATGAATTCATCATGATAACTCCAGCATTTGAACTGAGCCAGGATCCAGATTTTCTGACTATAACAATCAGTGTACCTTATGCCAGAGTTTCTGAGTTTGATATATATTTCGAGGGAAAGGATTTTAAATTTTATGCTAAGCCTTACTTTCTCAGGCAAGTAATGTAGCGATTTTAAAACCTTGAACTTCATAAACGAAAAATACTGAAAAGAGAATGAATTTTTTCTTTGTCTCACAAAACATTGTATTTTCTATCCTGTGGTCTGCAGAGAGCTGTCTGGTTATATGGTGCTGGTTATCTTCTTGTTTCCAGCTCCTAAATCACATGTAAAGAAGATACAATATTTTAAATACTTTACAGGTATTACTTTTTCATGTAGGACAACTAATGCAGTCGTGAATGGCATAGAAGGTCCATGAAACAATTTCAGTAATAAGAGGTCATCCACACTGGAAAAGTTTGACAACCCTTGGTCTGTATTAGTATCTTCTAATTTTAATGACTCTTTCCTTTTTCAGAATCATGAAAAAGGAATAGAGAACATTTTATTGCCTCTATATAAATTCATGGTATGGCCACATCTTGAATATTACATGCAGAGGTGGTCACTTTCTCAAAAAAGATATCTTGGCACTGGAAAGAAAATCAGAAAAGGGCAACAAAAATGATTAGGGGTATGCAAAGTCTGCCATATGAGGAGAGATTAATAAGACTAGGACTTCTCAGCTTGAAAAAGGGACAAATAAGGGGGGATACAATAGAGGTCTATAAAATCATTACTGGTATGGAGAAAGTAAATAAGGAAAAGTTATTTACTTGTTCCCATAACACAAGAACTAGGGGTCACCAAATGAAATGTATAGGCAGCAGGTTTAAAATAAAAGAAAGTATTTCTTCACACAGTGCACAGTCAGTGTGTGGAACTCCTTGCCAGAGGATGTTGTGAAGACCAGAACTTGAACAGGAACAGGATTAAAAAAAAACTAGATATCCTCCATGAATTTAGGTCCATCAATGGCTATTAACCAGGATGGGCAGTAGAGATGTTAATGATTTACTAGTTATGGTTAACCAATGGGGGCTGCTCCAGCCCTGTGGGGCCTGCCTAGGGCAGGGGGCTACACCAGCCCTGCAGAGCCTACCTAGGGCAGGGTGTAGGGGGAAAGTTCCAGTAATCAATAACATGTGTATGCCATTTTGTAAAAGTCCACACAACAACACGGGCTCCATCTTGGCCACCCTTCTCTCTCCTCCCCTCAGGGCTCTTTTGGTGTTTTGGTGGGAAAATCAGGCAGACAAGTGACCTAGGTCTGCCCAGAAACAGCAGCTTATTTAAGGGCTGCCTCTGGAGCTCTTAGGGGCTGCCCATCTGAGTGGCAGAGTCAGGAGTGGCTTAGAGGGTACGCCAGCACGACTCCAATGGGTTTCGGTTTTGGGAGGGTAACCAATGGCGGCTGCTCCAGCCCTGCGGGGCCAGCCGTGGTCAGGAGGCTGCTCCACTCTGGCTAGAGCAGCCCTCATCCACATTGGGCCCAGCCTGGCACACTGGGGCAGAGGCACTCCAGCTTGGCTGGAACATCCCTTCTCTATGGCAGGCCCGGCCCAGCCTTGCTGCAGATAGGGACACTCTAGCCCAGCTGGAGAAGCCCCTCTCTGTGGTTGGGGGGACCCCTCCAGCCTCCCCCGCCCCCCGCTTGTCCCTGGAAACATCATTTAACTAGTTAACTAATTAAATGGGATTTTACGTTCTTAATGGGAAGAAATGGTGTCCCTAGCCTCTGTTTGTCAGAAGCTGGGAATGGGCGACGGGGTGGATCACTTGTTGGTTACCAATTCTGTTCGTTCCTTCTGCGGCACCTGGCATTGTCCACCTTCGGAAGACACAATACTGGGCTACACGGACCGTTGGTCTCACCTAATGTGGCCTTCTTTCTCTTGGTATGGAAACATCAAGCACCAGTTCTTATCTCTTGTACATGTTCATATACCATAAATGGGGTTGATTAGGTGCGTGGACAGTAGTATATCAGTTAAAAAATTCTTCTGTTGTTTTAGATTTTCTTTCCCTTTTGGGTCATCTCTCTTCATTTCTTGATATAGCAAAATCCTTTACCTGTTTCATATAGTGTTGAGGCTGTCTTCTCTGTAATGGGAAAACAGGAGCATCAAATTCTCTCATATGCTGATCTATTTCATTAATATATGGGGGTAAACTTTCAAAGTAGAACATAGGGCTTTAACTGCATAATCTCCATTAAAATCAATGCGAGTCATGTAGTTAAATCCCCTGTACTACTTGCGGGATGTGCCATACAGTTTTTTTGATTGTGCTATTAGTCTGAATGATAAAATCAGGCATTTGATAAGACATGTCATCTTTGTCCATAGGCTAACTCTTCCTGGAAGAATTGTAGAAGATGGAAGAGAAAAAGCATCTTACAATGTGGACAAAGGTATTAGTTAATAATGTTCTTTTTTTATTATTAAAACATGACATGAGCTCTACCAATGTGCCTTTTTCTGTATTGTAATTATACAGAATTTTTAGTTTAGTTTCAACAAAGCATGTTTAATTGGAATTCCTCCTGGTTTTGGATACATTTTAAAATCTGTAGATCAGAGTATTTTATTTTACATATTTTACCAAAACAAATATTAACTAAAAATAAGGAAGGTAATAACATTTCCATACTGTGTTCCTATCTGACATGTAGAGCTAGATCCTGGTGTTCATATACTGAAAGGACATTGTGTGACCAACCAGGAGAGACAGGGCTCTCATAATAGAGCTTTCTTTATTGAAGAATAAATTCTTCATGGCTATAGATCATAATGTTCCTATTAAAGGAAGGTCTGGGTATATGGTTTCTTCAAATGTGACATAACGATATAAGTCACTGAACCAAGATCAGTAGCCCATCCAGCCCTTACACAATTTAATGCAGGGCTGGGGAACCTCAGGCCCAGGGCACCTGAGTCTGGCCTCTGAGGCTCAGAGCCCCTCCAGCTTTGGGGAATCTGTGTTGGTGCTCTAGCCCCGCTGTACCGCACCCCCCGCAGGGCTGGAGCACACACAAACCTACTAAGCTGTCCCCCCATGGCTCCTGTCAGCAAGGGGAATGTGGGGAGTGTCTTTCTCCTTAGTTGGGGGCCACGTTTGTGAGGGTTTTTTGGGGTTTTTTTGCTTCTTGTGTGTGATCCTTTACTGATTTTTTTTTCCTGTGGGTCAGTGGCCCCAGACCCCAAAAAAGTTCCCTATCCCTCATTTAATGCCTGGCTTTAGTAATTAGATCTGTGTTGAGCTCTGTGCATTGCCCATTGATTGCTGTGGGACTTTGTGCAGATGTAAGTACAATATCTGCCAGTGTGAAAATGACTGCACCATTGGGGTTTAAAATTGTAAACTATCTGGTTCAACAATTTATTCAATTAACAAAACAACCCCACAAGAATATGTTTTGTAACTAAGACCTTGGCTTATTAAGATACAATCTGCTACTTCCAAAGGGATGTTTATATACGTGACACAAAATATTCATCAGAATATTCAATGTGTCTTTCTTTAATCTCATGGTTGATTATATTAGGGGAAAAAGGTTTAAAAATAAAAATGTACTTAATCTATTTTCATTATGAGCTATGTCAAGATAACACCATAAACGATAGTGATGCAGCTTTTGTCGTTTTTTTGAAAAAATTATCTCATTTTTGTGAATATATATATAGCCAGGTTGACTCTAAAAATGCATAGAGATGAACACACTGAAAATTTTAGTTGCATGTATCCTGGATGAAATACACCCAAATAACTTCCTAGATATTTAGCTTTAATTTGGAAAAATGGTTGGATGTTGGTTTTACACACTGTTCCTTTTAAATGGTTATACATCTAACCCAAATTCTAATTTTTCTTTCAAGGTGTTTTTACAGTTCAACTGCCTAAAGAGACTCCCGGTCAGTATTTTGATGGGTTGGACATGCTAACAGCTCTGTTAGCACAGAAGAAAGCAAGATCAGTTAAACCATTAGTGGAAGAGATAGGTATGATTATTTGACATTGGTAAATACAATATATTTTAAAAGTTTTAACTTGTATGATTCTTTGTTTGAGTTTGTGAGGTGAATTTATAAGCAAGAAAACTTCCCTTATATGATGTGCATTACATGTTTACATGCTTTGAGAAAGTATTTTATAAGAGTTATATTTGAATTCTTTCAAAATATCTAATACTTATTAATATTTTGTTCCCCCATAGAGTTTGTATGATGTGTAGCGTTTTAAGATTCTCCTGCTGCTTTTATGCCAAAATATCTGGTCCGTTATAAATTATAGTATAGGTTGCATGTCTATTAACCAGGATTATCTGGTTCAGCAATGGACCATGGATGTTTTAGGATCAGAGAGTCCCCACACACTGCAGAGGTGGGGGGGAAGAGGGAGACTGGCTCAATTCCGGGGTGGGATGGGGTGGGGGAAATAAGGATGTTAAGGAGTGGGCATTTGACTAATTGTATAGTTGATACAATTTGTATTGACTACACTATTAGTGCTCTGCAGAGCTGCAGCGGGGGTAGCTCTTGGAGCTGGCACAAGCTGGGACTGAGCAGTCCCACCTCGTTCTGGCTCCCAAGACCACTGTGATTCTGCCTTTTAAATGTAGTAATAGCCACCTGGCTCTTAATACATTTTAAAGGCAGAGATGCAGTGGGATAGTTCTGCGACTTGGGACTGAGCAGAGCTGGCTCGCACCGTGTCTGAACTGCTGTGTGTCTGTCTCCCTTGCACCCCATGCACCGCAGAGATGGTGCTAGGGGGAACCGGCTTTTAAGCTGGCTCTTCCCAGCACCGGCTCCTGCTTCTTTCTCCCCCTCCTTTTCTGCCTCTGATATAAAGGCAGTGTGCTGGGGGGAAATGTGACTAGTCAAATAATCAACTACTCTTTTACATCCCTAGCTGGGAGCCTGGCCTGATGCTTCAGGGGTGGGAGCTGGGAAGCTGGTGCCACAGCAGCCCGTGGTCAGTGAAAGCCCAACTGTAGCACCTCTCTGCCAGAATGTATTTTCTGCAGACCAAAACAAAAATTCTGTGAGGGACATGAATTCTGCACATGCATGTGATGTTAGAATTTCCTCAGAACTAACATCACCACTTGGTGTTTTGCACTCCTGATGTGTGTATTGACATTGAGAATTTACCAACAGGCTTTCACTAGCTAAGAAGAATATGGATCTACATTGTATATAGGCATTTGGGCCACACATATTCACACAGTGAATATCTACTTATCCGTTGGGTACCTAAATGATACTTATTTGTACAACTACTAAATTCACCTCCAGTAGTTTATATGGCTTTTACAAATGGCATTGAACTCTGTAACCATCATTTGTATTTGTTGCCAAGATCGATATTGCCATTTTGAAGACAAAAGAAATCTAGTCAGCAGGAGATATATTAATACAGACTTTTCTATTGCAGAAATCTGTTAATGTTACAAAACCCTTTGTTGAGCTTCCATTTTCCTTCCTTTCTGTAGAAATTATAGGATGCTCAGATCCTAGAACAGCTTTTCTAATTGTTTAAAACATTAGTCAAGCAAAAAAAGTCTGGTTCATAGATTCAGAGTAATCTTTTTATTAGCTGGTAATTTAGTCAAAGTGTAACTTTGAGATCCTTTTCTTTGTATGATACAAAACATTTCTAGGCACCTCAGCTGAGCTAGCTGAGGAGGAAGAGGAAGAGGAAGAATTTGACTGGGAAATTGAACAGACCCCTTATGATCAGTCTACAGAAAGCACTTCACCTTTACAATGCTGTTATGGGTTTGGAAATTTAAAATCAGGAGTTTTCCGACGATTACAGGTGTGTTATTATTCTTTATAAACTTTATAGCAGCCACTTTTAGTGTTAGGTATGGCCTGGCATTCTGATTTTAACTGGACGTGAAGTCAGTGCAATAATGTTTCACGTGGTAAATTTAGCAACCTAATTTCTTCCTTTGACAGGGTTACTGACCTAGGGGAAAGTGGGAAGCAGAAGATATTGTATATCTTGATATTTAGTAAGGTTTTTGACACAGTCCGATCTAATATTCTCATAAGCAAACTCATGAAATGTGGTCTAGATGAGAATATTGTAAGGTGGGTACATAACAGGTTGAAAGACTATACTCAAAAGGTACTTCTCCATGGTTTGTGGTTAAAGTGGCAGGACATATCTAGTGAGTTTCCACAGGCATTGCTTCCTGTTTCTGCTACTATTGTGTTTTCACTAATGGCTTGGTTATTAGAGTAGAGGGTATGCTTTTTAAATTTATAGGTGACACCAAGCTGGGAGGTGTTACAAGCCCTTTGGAGGACAAGATTAGAATTCAAAATAACTTGGATAAATTGGAGAGTTGATCTGAAAACAATACAGTGACATTTAGTAAATATGAGAAGAGTACTGCACTTTGAGAAGAACAAATCAATTGCACAACTACAAAATGGGGAATAATTGGATAGGCAGTAGTACTGCTGAAAGGGATGTGGAAGGTGTAGTGGATCACAAATTGATTCCCAAATTGAGCTGACAATATGATACAGTTGCAAAAATGGCTGATATTCCTGTTAATACCCCCATAGAGCGCTATAGGTAAGACACAGGATATCATTGCTCCACTCCATTCAGCATTGTGTCCAATTTGGGGTTTCACAATTTAAAAAAGATGTGAGCAAATTAGAGGGAGTATAGAGAAGAGCTACAAAAGTGATAAAAGGTTTAGAAAACCTGACTTTTATGGAAAAAACTTAAAAAACAACAAATGGTCTGGTAGCACTTTAAAGACTAACAAAACATGTTGATGCTATCGTGAGCTTTTGTGAGCACAGCCCAGTTCTTCATGACACCAAGAAGAAGGGCTGTGCCCACGAAAGCTCATAATACCATCAACATGTTTTGTTAGTCTTTAAAGTGCTACCAGACTGTTTGTTGTTTTTTAAGTTTTTCCTGTTACAGACTAACTTGGCTACCCCTTTGACTTTTATGGAAAGGTTACAAAACCTTGCCCAGTGTAGTCCTGAGAAAAGAAAATTGAGGGAGGGGATCTGGTAAGTCTTCAAATATCTTAAAGATTACTATAGAGAATATGGTGATCTTCTATTCTTTATGTCCACTGAAATGAAGCCGGAAGTTGTCTTCATTATTAAACAAGGGTGATTTGGATTAGATATTAGAAAACAACTTTGTAAGTATAAGGGCAGTTTAAATTCTGGAATAGGTTGGAATCAATCATCACCCACTACTGAGTGCAGGTGTCTGCTTCAGTCCCACAGCACCTGCTGCAGGTGGGGGGTGGGCATACCAGCCCGGCCGGAGCAGCCTGATCCAGGCATACCACAGGCAGGGGTGCTCTATCCCGCCTGGAGCAACCTCCCGCTAGCCTGTTTAAATGGTGAACCGGTTAAACATATCATTTAACCGGTTAACTAATTAAACAGGGTTTTACATGCCTGCTTTGACCCCGGTCCTCCAAGTTGTTCTGCTTGGGTAAACTTTGTAAAGTCAGTGGAATCTGCTCAGGTACAGGGATCTACATGTGTGGAACAATTTGCTGGAATCAGGTCTTAAATTGTAGGCTTAAATCTGCATCGCTACTATACATGAAATGGTTTTGTTGTTTCTTGACTGTTTGTGTTCATCTCTAACTTATTCCAAGCCCTCAGAGAATAAGGATTACATGCAGATATCACAAATATGCAGCATTTATTATTGTTGTAATTTATAGATGATTTACTAATGTTTTGTTTATGTGCATGATACCAAGAGGTAGAAGTACTAGCTGGGTCTATTAACTCTAACTGTAAGACCAAGACCATATAATGTGGTTACTGCGTGAATTATGTCTTACAATAGAAAAGTGAAGTAATATAAGGAGGAAAGCTTTCATGTTCTAATAGCATGTATAGTAATTGGTCTTTTGCCATGGAATTCCTACAGAAATGCTTATTATTCCCATATTACTGTCTTATCAATGTGTGATTTACAGTGAAATTCCGCATTAACTGATGATTTCCCACTTCAATATTAATGTCAATTTGTGTATGAACACACTGCACTTGAGATGGCAGGACTGTTGAAGTCGTTGGAGTTGGGGATATGCAGCATATTGTAGGAGAGGCCCTAAAATTTCAAGAACAATAATGCTTCATTGTTGTCTGTATCTTTATTGCAGGGATTCTCAAACTTCATTGCACTGTGACCCCCTTATGACAAAATATATTACTACATGCCCCCAGGAGAGGGGGCCAGAATTAAAACCCAAAGGCTTCAGCCCTGGGCAGGAGGCCTGTGAACTAAGTCTGGCTGAAGCTGTCACGTTTGGGCGCTGGGTGGTGGGGCTCGGGCTTCAGCTTTGGTCACGGGCCTCAGCAAGCCTAAGCCAGCATTGGCGACCCCACTAAGGGTATGTCTAAACTACACCCCTCTGTTGGGTGTGCACGTATCGAAAGTGCAAATGAAGCCAGGATTTAAATATCCTGCGCTTCATTTGTATAGCGGTGGCCACCGCTTTTTTTCATTTTTTGAGGAGTACAGGATCTTTCAAAACGGGGCATTTCTGTCAAAAATGCCCTGTCTAAACTGCCGTTTTTTTTCGAAAAGCCCCATTTCGGGAAAAAGCGGCGGCCACCATTATGCAAATGAAGCATGGGATATTTAAATCCTAGCTTTATTTGCACTTTCGATACGTCTAATTTACATCTCTCTGCCGACAGAGGGGTGTAGTTTAGATGTAGCCTAAAATAGCTCATGACCCACTTTAGGGTTTTGTCCCAGCGTTTGAGAAGTGCTCCTTGATAGCAGTAGCTTTCATTAAGCATTGAAGGTTTGAGGCATTAATGAAAAAGAATGCATCTCTTTTTTTGTAACCAAGAGAGGAGCAGAAGCAGATTTTATAGTGTTTTAAGCACTGACAGCATTTGGCCATTTTTTAAAAATACAAGCAAAATGAACTCAACATCCGATATGTTCTGATTAAAAAAACAGTAGAATTGTAACATATAGGGGATCCCGAGAAGAACTTTTTTATTTCCTTGTTTACTGTTTCCACTTCAGGCTGATGTCTTAAAAAACAAAATAAATGTAATTCCACTATTTGTGCATAAAAACAAATTATGCAATTATGGCCTGTTTTTCAGTAAGGGAGAGTTGGTAGTGGCTCCTATCATCCTTATAGCTCACCCTAGTGTAAACTGTTCAGCACTGCTTCTAAACTCTCATTTACTGTTTTTCTTGTCACATTTCCAGGATGAACTCAGTGACGTTATTGACGTTAAGGATCCTGACTTAACGCCTGCAGCTGAACGTAGACAGAAACGACTAGAGACTGAGGTTGCCAAATTTGATTCTGATCATTATCTGTAGGTACTTCTTTATTTCTCCTGATCAAGTGAATTTACATCAGCTAAAATAAATATATTTTGCTCTCTAATAGACGATGGATTTTATAATCTCTTTTGGGAAAAAAAAAACGGGCTTACTTTTTGTTTGCCTTGGTCTCATATAGTGATGTAATAGTGTTGTCGATTAACTGATTAACCGATGAGCAAAAGCTTATTGGTTAATGCTATCGACTACCCGCATTCTTCACCCGCCTCCCCCCCAAACCCTCCACGGTAAATTTTTTAATAGACTGGCCAGCAGCCCGGCTTATGTCAGGTTTGGGACCTTCTCCTGCTGCGGCTCTGCATTTAAAGAGTATTAGGAACCAGGCAGGCAAGCAGCCTGGCTCAGTTCCGGCTCACACTGGGTCCGGGAGCTCAGACCCTCCTTAGACAGGGGCTGCTGCATCTTTATCAGAGGCAGCAGCGCGGGGCGACAGGCAGCTGGTCCAGAAGGGGAGCTGGTTTTTAAACTGACTCCCCTCTTGGGCCAGCTCTTGCCTGGCACCCTACACTGATGTCTCTGATACAGTGGCTGCTGGCCCTGACCCTGGGGACTATAGAATAGTCGACTAACCAATAAAAATTCATGAGGTTACTTGACTATTAAATTAACTGATATTTAACATCCCTGCTCTCTCCTATGTTTTCTGTTTCCCATCACAGAAGGTATAGCTTTCTCAAGCAAATGCAGAATGAAAGTGATCTGATTGTCATTGGTTTCACTGTTATTTACAAGTAAATTGACTGTATATTCTGTTTTTTATCTGGTGTTCTAATAATTTCCTTTGGAAAAATTAAAATGTCTTTTTAAAAAAATTAATCCTAATGTTTCTTAACGTAACTATGGAATGTTTATTCATGACATATTGCTATACAGAGTAGAACTTGAGTCCAGTGGAATCAGTGCAAACAGTATTTTCACATTCCACATTTCCTGCCCCCCTCTCCCAAACAAAGATATCAAAAGGAACTCTGTTATAAGTCATCTGCTTTGTACTGCCTCTGTTGCATTGAAAGACCTCTCTTCTCTTAGGTTGCAGGCCGAGTGGCTGAAGAAAGGGGTGCAGTACTGGGTCACGAAGTTGGATATACTATTCGATTTGATGACTGCACAGATCCACAGGCTACAAGAATTAAGGTAAAACTTAAGCAGAAGGCTAGTACCCTGCAATGGTTAGCCAAACACTCAAAGCACATTTGTGAACATTAATTTAGCTTAATAAAACCCAATGAGTGGGACAGATGGTACTATACCCATTCTGCTTATGGTGAAACTGAGGCACAGAATGGTGAATTACACAGAGTAATACCAATGGCTCAATGGAAGAATGAGGAACAGGCTCCTAGGTCCCTGCCTGAATCACATTAGTCATACTGTCTTCAGTATTTTTAAATTTTAATACAGAATATGGCGTGGCACTTTATTATAATCCTGTTTTCTGGGATAGCAGTTCAGCATACAGGAAGGAATAAAAAAACGCAAATTTGTGATGATGCAAATTTTTCAGTTTTTATTTTGTATTTTTTGCTTATTGTTAAGGACTTTGTCAGCTTATTTAATGTTTTTGATTCTACTCTGTGTGTTTGCATATATTTAAATCTCAGTCTAGGTGGTCCCCGAGTTACGAACGCTTGACTTATGACCGTTCGTACTTACGACCAACCTCCCATTAAGCACATTACAGCCGGTTTCTGAGTTACGAACACGCGATCCATGCTTATGAACAGCGCGGTCACATTTAAATGAATGGAGTCTGACTTACAAACAGATTGAGTTACGACCAGCTGTTTGGTATGTAACTCGTTTGTAAGTCGGGGACTATCTGTACAAAGAATGGAACATTATGTTCTATTATGCCAATACCAACTGCTATCACTCTAAATCCAAATGAGGTTTTCAAGGTGGTTATGACCAGATATTGCTCCAGTGCTAGTGTAATCTGAGACACCAGTGAAGTAGAAAGGAAGGGCTGCAATGAATTGAAGCCTGGCTATCCTAGCCATCTTAATTGAGAGAATGAACAAACTACCTGAAAGTGACTTCATGTGGGCTGTAGCTTTCTAGTTATCACAGTGGGGAACACAGAAACTATTTGGCTCATGACCCACTTTAGGGTTCTGACCCACAGTTTGAGAAGTGCTCCTTGATAGCAGTAGCTTTCATTAAGCATTGAAGGTTTGAGGCATTAATGAAAAAGAATGCATCTCTTTTTTTGTAACCAAGAGAGGAGCAGAAGCAGATTTTATAGTGTTTTAAGCACTGACAGCATTTGGCCATTTTTTAAAAATACAAGCAAAATGAACTCAACATCCGATATGTTCTGATTAAAAAAACAGTAGAATTGTAACATATAGGGGATCCCGAGAAGAACTTTTTTATTTCCTTGTTTACTGTTTCCACTTCAGGCTGATGTCTTAAAAAACAAAATAAATGTAATTCCACTATTTGTGCATAAAAACAAATTATGCAATTATGGCCTGTTTTTCAGTAAGGGAGAGTTGGTAGTGGCTCCTATCATCCTTATAGCTCACCCTAGTGTAAACTGTTCAGCACTGCTTCTAAACTCTCATTTACTGTTTTTCTTGTCACATTTCCAGGATGAACTCAGTGACGTTATTGACGTTAAGGATCCTGACTTAACGCCTGCAGCTGAACGTAGACAGAAACGACTAGAGACTGAGGTTGCCAAATTTGATTCTGATCATTATCTGTAGGTACTTCTTTATTTCTCCTGATCAAGTGAATTTACATCAGCTAAAATAAATATATTTTGCTCTCTAATAGACGATGGATTTTATAATCTCTTTTGGCCGCATTCTTCACCTGCCTCCCCCCCAAACCCTCCACGGTAAATTTTTTAATAGACTGGCCAGCAGCCCGGCTTATGTCAGGTTTGGGACCTTCTCCTGCTGCGGCTCTGCATTTAAAGAGTATTAGGAACCAGGCAGGCAAGCAGCCTGGCTCAGTTCCGGCTCACACTGGGTCCGGGAGCTCAGACCTCTCTCTCCAGACAGGCTGCTGCCACCCTGTGCTGCTGCCTAATGCAGGGACACTGGCAGCTGGTCTGCGAGGGGAGCTGGTTTTTAAACTGGCTCCACTCACAGACCAGCTCCCCCCTGGCACTCCGTACTGCTGCCTCTAATACAGAGGGCAGCAATGTGGAGTGGCAGGGGGCTCCTCGGGAGTGGGGCTAGAGCACACTGGCTGTCAGTCCCACCCATGGGGTCTACAGAATAGTTGAGTAACAAATAAGAATTAATGAGGTTAAGTGACTATTCAGTTAATCCATATTTAACATCCCTAGTTTTATAACACTAAACTTCAAACAGTATTCCCAGGTGTGATAACACAAGACATGGCTCATACACTTCAGGCTTGCTTTGCTGCTCTTTAAACTCAAAGGCCAGTCTGCATGAAAGCAGGGTTGGTGCTGCTGCAAGTTACAGAATATTATTTCATAGTTGGCCTCTCAAACATCAGGGTAACCTATCCTTGCCAGCATTTTAGGCTGTAGACATCGTAGCTTTGTTTTCTCCTGAGTGACAGTGGCAGTCAGCCCATCCTGATCCATGAGCATCTCTTTTTAGATGAATTCTAGAGTGTTTCTCTGAGATCTGTAATATCATTTTTGTGTAAGCCACCTTCTGTTTGTTGCTCATATCCCATTCCCTTGTTAATGAGCTCTTTGTCCTGAGAATGAGCACAGAAATTGGGCAGAGACTTGGCACGTCAGTAAGAGCTATCAGCTTTGGAAACTATTTCCTCCTAACTGGTCCAAAACAGTCCAAATTTGCTAACCTTCAGGACTTGCTACATTGTGCATCTATTTCCACATGCTTTGGGGTTGTTAAAAAGAAGGCAAAAGGAGGTGTATTGTTTAGGTTTTCATCTAATCTTTGGTTAATTATTTTCTGATGTTGGGGCCAGAAACTGATTTTGGTTGGGTTTGTTTTTAATATGATTGTGTTTTTAGTGTAGGGCAAATGCGTCTATAGAGTCTGGGATTGGTGGGTTTATATATGTTACTATACATTGAAATAAATAACAGAGCAACTCTTTCTGCAGTGCTGACCTCTTTGAAGATGAAGTCATTCAGCATGTTTTGAAGTACAAGCCCTGGTGGGTTGACGCTTATGCAAAAAAGATGGCTTCCCAGGGAAAAAGTAATCAGGAACATGTTAGTCAGACATCATTTGGTAAGAGTGTATACGTTTTGTTTAATTTTCATTGCTTCTGTTCCACATTACGTTCCAGAAAACTGTCTTGAAGATGAAAAGTCATGGTTCTAGCTAGCCATTGCCAATTATGTCATATTAATACCATCCTTTGTCATTATTTATTTGAAGGATGATTATAATGGGTGGTTTGGAAGAGCTGAGTGTCTTTTTTGGATAGGAGATATTGGGCATTTCTCCTTTTATATATGAACTAAGAGAGTTTTGTGCAATTTGTTACTATGCAAATATATCTTCTGAACAAACTACACAGATGCATCTGTTCTCAAAGATTATAATAGATGCATCAGTGGTCTGTGAAGACGCAGCTTCCTTTTAAGACTTCGCTACAAATATTAAGGACCTCATGGAAACCTCTCAACAATTGACAATCATGAAATCTAAATTCAAATTAAAACCGGCTTTGTTTGGACATTGCATTAGCTAGAAGGTGGGAGTGCCCCATGTATTATTAGTATCTCTCATTTTTCAGGTTTTTATAAATCATTGCTTTTCTGATAACAGAGATTTCCTTTTTCGAAAATACAGTAGTCATTGATTTTTTGTATCTTCTTGTAACTGATTCAGACACTGCTGTAAGTCTCATTGTTCAGAATCATTTGCATAAAATTGTCTTAAAACCAACCAGTATTTCTATACAATATATAAATCATCTTTAGAAACTTGTTTCACAGGTGGTTATTCCACATATATTTTTGTGGGCCCTAGGGGCTTCTTTCCTTTCCTTTTTTTATAGCCTGTCAGATGTGTTTCAGCTTCAGAAGAAGGATGAACTTGTGACTGTACTATCAATGGGTATCTGTATGAGATTTTTTTTGTGTATGGTGGATTTATAGTTGATTCTGTTACCTTTATACATGTTCTTTGATTGTTCTATTGTCTCCTAGATGACTCAGCAATGCAGCATTTGCCATATTAAATTATAGGTAATTCGTCCAAGCATGGGCTCCATCTGTATAAATATTACTTAGTGTTTCTAGGTTCTAGTTCCTTGTGTTCTGAGCTTTTACATAGGAAATAGAAGAGAATCTGTGTGTGTTGCAACAGCCCTTGTGCATTCTTTGATTTATCTTTATACAGCCATTGCAATGAGGTATTGTTCACACACATCATGTAAATTGGAGCCACAGTGGACTAAAGACATTGAAAGTAAGAGACACTTGGAAACAAAAAAAAGTAGCAGTTTCTTTCTTTCTTTCTTTCTTTCTTTCTTTCTTTCTTTCTTTCTTTCTTTCTTTCTTTCTTTCTTTCTTTCTTTCTTTCTTTCTTTCACTTTGAATGAGTGACTGAGTGGAAATTTGAGTTAGCCACATCATACTTTAATTCTAAATATCTATTGTGGCATAAGAGTAAATTAATCATTTTTTTTCATCTTGAAGAGGTTTTAAAAATGGGCCTGCATCTCCATTCTTGGCAATGTTTTTTTTTTAATTTAGCATTTTCTTTGTAAGTCCTTTGAAAGAAGGGCTTGCATGTGTGTTAAAAGTTCTTGCCCCTTACCTTGTCAGTCCAGTAAAATATCAAAGTCTCCTTTGTCTGGTGTTTTTTTTTAAATGTGTTTTTTTTTGGGAGTTTGTATGCCAACTGAGTGAATTGTTGCTTCAAAGATGTTAGTCAATGTTTTATGACTTTTTTGTTGTAACTATCAACAGTGTAAAAATAGATGTTGAGTTTGTGCCAGTGGCTGGATAGGGAGTGAAGACAGACCTTGATTTTTTTGTGAGATAATGGCAATCTGTTTTGATTTGTGGAATACAGGGTGACAGCAATTGTAGTGTTGCCTGAAAATAAGAGATGGCTTGGTGCTTTTTTCAATTACTTTGAGAAACTTTTGCTGTAGGTCATATATAGCAAATAATAACAATATTATATTTCTTAGTGGTGAGAGGCTTGTGTGGTTGCTCACTTATTTTTATTTTTCTAAGATATTAAGTGAAAGAGAATCTAGATTAATATCAAATGCACAAAATTATGGATGAGAAATGGAACTATAAGTTGGGGACTCAACATGTTTATGATAACCTAGATAACTTGGTAGATAAAGGCATATCTGGAAGAGAACAGTAAAAGCTAGTAAGGTTAGTTAACTGACCTAGTCTACTTTATAGAGTTAGGTCATTGCAAGGCAGCTCACTTTGACCTAACTGTGTAAGCATCTATACTAAAATATTGCTCCTGCCAATGTATCTCACTGCAATGCTGATTAAATAACTCTACTTCTGTGAGAGGCAGAGCATTGAGGTAGACATAGTTGGGTCGAGTTCTTTGTATAATCATGGTATCTAGTTGTTAAAAATCAACACAGCTGTTCCACCTCCGTCCTCCACCTTCACAGAAATGTCTCCCACTTCGCTTCACAGATGTTATAAAGCACACATCAGGCATCTATAACCAGGGGATATTTTTTTCACTGAGGTCTCATCTCATGTGCAGACCGCACCAGATGCCTTTCAAGAAGCCAAAAGCACATTCAACTTTCATTCTGTATTTGCTGAGCTTGTGATGGAAGTGCTCCTTCCTGCTTTTAAGGTTCTTGAGACATGAATTCATGAGCCATGGAAATAAGACGTAGGCTGGGTTTCCCATGATCATTTAGGCATTTCAACATTCCCAGTTGTAATCCTCTGGTCTGGAAAGAAAGTCCTTGTTGACAGTTTTCTGAACAGGCCTGTGTTTTTAAAGATGCATGTATCATGCATCTTCTCTGACCGTGCTTTGCTGATGTCCGTAAAATGTCCTCAGAGATCTACCGGACTTGCAGTGCCATAGAAAAGTAGCCCTTTCTGTTGATACACTCTTTAACAAGGAAGACTGGTACCAAAATAGGGGTTTGTGTGCCATCTGTTGCCCCATCACCATTCACAAACCCTGTTGCTATAAAGCCATCCACTCTGTCCTGAATATTGCCCAGAATTACAGTCCTATGTAGCAGGATGGAATTGATGGTGCTGCACATTTGCATCACAGTAACTCTCACAATGGATTTCCCTTGTCCAGATTGCTACCGATCAGTTGGGAATCAGTCTGGTGTTGCCTGCTTTTACCCAACAATCTCTGCTTACTTCTCCACCATCAGTGTAGCTCTTGTTGTAGAGTTGTTGCGCCAGAAGGCTTGGGCGACCTTTGCACACAGTCCCAGGAGTGTGGCCTCGTGTCTAAAAGTTCTGTCCCAGGACCTTGGTGCGAATTGTTTGCTCCTGTTAAGCATTGCATACTCTTTTCAACACACTCTCTTCTAGATAGTGATGAGTTGCCCAGTGAGATAGCTGCCCACAGTGCACTGCTGTCTGCATTGATGCAAGCACAGTTAGTTGGAGATGCACACCGCTGATGCAAGAAACATAATGTAGACATGCACAAGGATTTAATAGCTACTGCGACTGTACATCAGCTTACTTAGGTTGACTTACCGTATATACTCGAGTATAAGCCGAGTTTTTCAGCACAGTTTTTGTGCTGAAAAATGCCCCCCTCGGCTTATACTTGAGTCAGCCTCCTGCTCGCGGGCGGGCTCAGTGCGTCTCTGCCGCCGGCTGGGTCTAGACGCGTGAGCCCGGAGCTCCGGCCCCCCAGCCCCTGCCCTCCTGGCCCTTCCGGCCCCTGCCCTCCTGACCCTCTCAGCCCCCCTGTCCCCTTGTCCCCCCCAAGCCCCATGTTTGGCTAATGGAACTAAGCTGCGGCCTGTCATTATTTTTAAAAGAAAGACCTTGCCTAAAAAGGTCAAATTCCCACCACGAATTATAGTGCGTGCACATATTAAAGGCTGGATGGATGAAGACAGAACAAAAAAATGGCTGGAAGAAATTTGGAACGGACGACCAGGAGCAACCTTAAAGAAAAAACCATCATTGCTAGTTTGGGATATGTTCAGAGCCCACACATCTGATGACATAAAAAAATTGGCAAAGTCTTCTCAAGTTACTTTGGCAGTTATTCCAGGTGGGCTTACATCTGTATTGCAGCCCCTAGATGTGTGTTTAAATAAACCTTTCAAAGACCGTGTGCGAAAGATGTGGCATGAATGGATGTCATCTGGTCAAGCTCGACTGACAAAAGTTGGAAATCTGAGGAAGCCAGACATAGAATTGATAGCACAGTGGGTTCGTGATGCATGGGAAGAGATTCCAGAGGACCTGGTGCAACGCGCCTTCAAGAAATGTGGCATTAGTAATGCTATGGATGGCAGTGAAGACAGCGCTTTGTATGAGAACGACAGCAGTGATGGTGATGACTGTGAACTCAGTGATGATGACAATGTCTATGCTGATAACCTCACACCAGCTGAAGCTCTGTTTGGACATACAGATGATGAGGAGGAGAACTCCAGTTTTGAAGGATTTTAGCTCTTGTGTGTTAGCTTGGTTGCTGATTGAGCTAAGGTTGTTGTACTTTTAAAGTTACGGTATTTTTGATACCATATTGTTTTTGTTGACCCCCTTTTCCACTTACAGAGCTAGGTTATTGTTTTTCTTTGAAATAAATATTCATGTAATTTTATTGGTATCTATCTTCATTTTTTACATTTACCAGTAGCTGCCTCATTTCCTACCCTAGGCTTATACTCGAGTCAATATTTTTTCCCAGTTCTCTGTGGTAAAATTAGGTGCCTCGGCTTATATTCGGGTCGGCTTATACTCGAGTATATACGGTAATTTTGTCGTGTAGACTTGCCCCATGTCATATCACTCCTCCCATTGCTTATCTTATCAATAAGCTAGGCAAGTACAACTTAGATGGAGTTACTGTAAGGTAGATGCATAACTCGCTGGATAACCATTCTGAGAGAGTAGTTAATGGTTCACAGTCATGCTGGAAGGGCATAACAAACGGGGTCTCACAGGAGTCTGTTTTGGGATCAGTTCTGTTAAATATCTTAATCAACAATTTAGATGACGGCATAGAGAGTACGCTTATTAAGTTTGCAGAGGGGTCGGAACTGCTTTGGAGGTTAGAGTCATAAT